ATCATTCATATTAAATTATAAAATGTCATTTCCTATGCTAATACAAATCACTTGGCAATGGCTTCCACGAGCTCTGGATTGAGAAGGGCTCTGTGATTGATTATTGATGTCTGGCAAGAGCAGTGGTAGATGCACCATGCGTGCCACAAATCTGTCCTTTTTTTTGTTTGTTTAGAAAATTATAATGAGTTCAAATGCTAAACAGATAAATCAAATTATCTGCATATGAATTTTTAAAAACACCTTAACATTGCCTAAATACAATAGCACAAATAACAATGATAAAAAGAGGCAGGAAGAAAGGGAGGAAAAGAATAAAAAGAGGACAGGGGAGTAGAAATTCAGATCGAAATAAGCCTATAAAAGAAACCTCCCAAAGTAACTTTGATATCTTCCTATCTTCCACCAAATTCTTTGTTTTAGAAGGGGGGGGGGTGAGGGAGAGAGGGGGAGAGAGAGAGAGAAAGAGAGACAACACAAGAATGCAAATGCAGGAGAGGGGCAGAGAGAGGCAGAGAAAGAGTAAGAGATTGGGCTCATGACCTGAGCTGAAATCAAGAGTCACATGCTCAACTCCCTGAGCCACCCAGGTGCCTCATTCCACCAATTTATTCTAACTAAATGCTCTTTTTACCAACTACAAAACAACATTATATTTAGGGTTACAAAAGAATTTCCCATTTTTCATATGTAAACACCCTAGCTATGAATTCATTCCTTATAAATAGCAGAGTTGGTAACTCTCAGTAATCTCTGGCTTCACATAGAGCTACTATAGCCAAGAACATCTCTGCATCCTTTTTTCCAGAATTCCTGGAGACCCCCAATTGTGCCCACATTCTCAAGGCAATTTCTTCATCCTGCTGAGTCCCTGGATGAACATATTACTTATAAGGATTAGTCCTGTGACATAAGTAAGGCAGTCATTCCAGCTCAAATCTTAGGGGTGTTTGCCTGACAGGGTGACAAATTGTACAGACAAAACGCGAACCAGAGCAAACTGAAGAATGACAAAACCAAAGAAGCCAGAGTGTCAGCAATGAAGCCTATACTGCAGTCATTCGATCTTAATTCGGGTTCCCCAGAAGCAGGATCTGAGACAAAGATTCAAGGATAGTTAGTGGGAGGTAAAGGGAATCCAGATAGTGAGAAAGTGGAACAGGAAGGGAAGGCAGCGAACAAAGGGTTGAATTATCAAGCCAGTGACTCTGCGGGCAACTGAAGGCCATCCTCTAGAGAACCTCTGGGAAACCATCCAAAGAATGTACCTGAGAGCCTTCCCACCTGATGGAGTGGTAGCTGGGGCATTTATACACCACCTCTCAGCAATTCTTGGCTGAGAACCATTCCCAAGAATATTCATCCCCTGGAAACTTCTGGCCAACTCTCTGGAGCAGAGTAGTCTTCCTGGGCTTTGGGGAACCTCCAAAAACCCGCAGGCAAAGAGATGCGGATTCAACCCATGAGAAGCTTGGGCAGTACACACAAGTATTAAAGCCTGAGGGACACAAGCTGGGCATCAACAGTGGTACACGACACAATCCCTTTAGCGTGCAAAAGGGGGCACATGAGCAGCGTGTCTAAAAGTTGGTCCAGAGGCAGAGAGATCGGGGACTAAAGCAGAGATTCTGCAAAATCTCTCTACGTGGAGACAGTGTAAATGTGCTAGCTTGCTCCCGCGGTAATTTAGAAAAGAACATGGAGGAGTGACTTTGGAGAATGTTTCCTGACAGGAGGGTTTTATAATTCACCAAATATGTATTGATTGCTCAGCAAAGTACCAGGCTAGCATACACAGATTAAGAGGGTAGACGGTTTGTCCTTAAATGGGTGTATTTTCTGGGCACCTGCGTGGCTCAGTCGGTTGAGCATCCAACTTTGGCTCAGGTCATGATCTCACAGTTTGTGAGTTCCAGCCCTACATCAGGTTCTGTGTAGACAGCTTGGAGCCTGGAACCTGCATCAGATTCTGCGTCTCCCTCTCTCTCTGCCCCTCCCCCACTCATGCTCACTCACTCTATCAAAATAAATAAACATTAAAAATTTTAAGGGGTATATTTCCAGGAGGAAGTGAGAATGGGCAATGCAGACAGATGATGAAGCAAGCTGTGCTGGGTATCACAAGGAAGGGAAACCTCAAGCATCTCCTTGAGGAAGAAATCGTCTCTGTTTAGGTGGGCATGCAGGACTTCTTTGAGCAGTGATATCTGAGGAGTGTGCCACACAGTAAAGAAGACTTTGACCAGGGCAGGTGCAGAGGAAGGAGCTCACTCCAAGAGTAGAGAGTGAAATGACACCCAGCAGTGAGGCATGGACAGGCTCCCAAAACACCAAGAGCCTGGTGCATACACACCGCACACCCTGGGCACAGGCTGGGGAACAGGAGGAGATTAAAGCAGCACAGGCTAGCTGGTCTCCCAGTAAGAGCCTGAGGACCCAGCAGAGGACTTGCTCTGTCGTTTGAGAAGCCAGAGGTACAGCATTACACCAGACTTGCTAAAGGACAACTCTACTGGTATGTCAACATGGTCATAGGCATTGAGGGCCAGAACTGGAACAGCAAAGTACAGATGCATGCACCACATGAGGGGAAGCCAGTGAGAGAGACAGAATATTCCGTACCTGTGCTATGCAACAGAACTCTCTGAGATGATGGAAATAATCCATTATCTGCACTCTCTCATGCAGTGACAGCTGACCCCCTACTACCTACTGATCGCTCATCCAGGTTTGGCTACATACGCACATATGGGAGAATCTACCTGAGGTGCCAAAATGACACTGAACAGAACCTTATGATCAGCTGGGAATTCCCAACTCTCCTTGTAGAAAGCAAATCATCCTCAAGAGGCCCATGTGAAGTGTTTTCACACTTCACCTTTGCCAGCCCATAAAGAATGTTTGGAGTGCCGCAGTTTGAAACGGAAACCCCACACAGGGAGCCCTTGGCTTCTAGCAGAGCCTGAACAGATGTCTTAGGGGGTGGGGAAGCAAGGTCAATTACCACTCTGTTGCAACCTGCCCAAGTAGTTGTCTGTCATCAATTGGCAGCCTAGCCACAGAACATAAGCCAAAGGTGGCACAACCCTTGATGGAATCAAAGTGAAACGTCTGTATAGCACTGTGAGAGAGGTCTGGAGGCAGGATGAGACTGGAAGGAAACCGAGCTCCATGCACTGAGTTGTCCAACCACTTTACAGCCATTATCTCCCTTCACCTCCACAACACCACCACGGAGTAGGTCTTACTGTGCCCACCTTGCAGATGATGAATGCAAGGCTGAGTTACAATTCATCTCACTGCTGCTAAGAAACAGGCTGGCACGGGATTCAGGCAGGAGTGATTCCTGAGCCCATGGTCTCCTATTAAACTGTACACATGCCCAACACAGTGTCTGATTTCTATAGTGTCACCCTTTCATATTCACATTGGAATCTTTGTTTTGTGGGAGAGATCTGGACTCTGTTCTAATTTATAAGTTAGTTACAAATATTAATATTTTTAAAACTCCAATCTACTTATTGGCTTGCTTTATTTTTTTTTTTCATTTACTAATGGATTCTGTTTTTTAGAGAAATTTAGGTTTTCAAAAAAATTGAGTGGAAAGTACAATTCAGAGTTCCCATACATCCCCTCCCCACCCCAATTTCCTCTATTATTAACAGCTTACATTAATGTGGTACCTTTGTAACAACTGATAAACCAGTACTGATACATTATAATTATCTAAAGTCTATAGTTTAGATAAGGGGTCATCCTTCATGTTGTACAGTTCTGTGGGTTCTGACAAATAATGTCATGCATACACCATTACATACACCATTACATATCATACGGAATTAGTTTCACCACCCTAAAAAATCTTACATACATGGTTAAATGCTGCACCTGTTTATCCATCCCTGCCTCTATCCCCTGGACCCCCAGGAAACCACTGATCTTTTCACTTTCTAAGTTTGCCTTTTCCAGAATGTCATATACTTGGAATCATACAATAGGCTACCCTTTCAAATTAGCTTCTTTCACTTAGCAATATGCTTTCAGGTTCCTCCATGTCTTTTTGTGGCTTGACAGCTCATTTCTTATTACTGCCGAATAACGCTCCATTGCATGGATGTGCCACAGTTTGCTTATCCATAGACATATTGAAAGATATCTTGGTTGCCTCCAATTTGGCAATTCTCCATTTTGTCCTATTGATCTATTCACCTATTCTTTTACCACTATCACACTTTAAAAAAAAATAAATAAATAAACACAAGCTTATTTATTATTTATTTATTTTCCACATATATTGTGCTGCTTTCTGGAGAATATCACACTCTCTTGAATACTACAGCTTTACAATAAGGGTGAAGTTGCCTGTCAGCCCTCCAACCTTGTTCTTCTCTTTCAATGCTGAGTAGGCTATCCTGGGCCTTTTGCCTCTCCATGTAAATTTCAGAATCACTTGGCTGATATCCAAAAAATAACTTTCTGGGATTCTGCACTGAAGTCTGTCAGGATCAAGGTGGGAAAAACTGACATCTTACCATTATTGCATCTTCCTATCCATAAACAGGGAATATTTCTTCACATACATGCATGTATTTAGTTCTTTGTTTCCTTTCAACAGAGTTTTCCAGATTTCCTCAAATAGATCTTGTGCACGTTTTGTTAGATTTTATAGCTAAGTATTTCATCATTTTTGCTGTTAATGTAAATGCTATTTTTAATATGAAATTCCAATTATTCATTACTGGTATATACAGAAAAACACTTGATTTTTGTACCCTGCAACTCTGCTATAATCATTTACTAGTTCCATGAAGTTTTTTTAATCAGTTATTTAGGATTTTCTACATAGGCAATCACGACATCAGTGAACAAAAACAGTTTTATTTCTTCCTTCTCAGTATGTATGCCTTTTATTTCCTTTTCTTATCTTATTGCATGGGCTACGACTTGCAGTGTGATGTTGAATAGAAATGGTGATAGGAGGCATCTTTGACTTATTTCTGATCTTAGGGGAAAGGCATCTAGTTTCTCAGCATCACTTTACTGTTAAACCTTCTATGTGACAGGGAGTCATGGGTCCACTACACATATTCTCTTGGCATTCACCCTTCCTTGTCTGAGGGCCTTATCTGGCCACAGTGCATGTTTAGCCCATTATCTGGATAAGGCCAGGAGTGCTAGTGAGTTACTTCCTTAAACCAATGGTATATAGGACTTAACTTAAATGCTCTGTGGTGGGTCCTCACAGCTTGAGGAGGTCAATCTTGTATGTACTCTCTGCAGGCTCCCAATGGTCCCCAGGAGGTGGAACCCCTATTGCCCCAAAAAGTCACTTACTTATTATTACCTCATTTGTTGGCTTCTATCCCTTGCCTATCTCACTTCCCACTTCTGTACCAGTGCTCCTTGGGTCATTTCCCAAATAAACTAGTTAAAAATCCTACTCTCAGAGTCTGATTTTTGGAAAACCCAACCCAAAACCAAACCATGTACATATGTACATAACTGTTTTCATTCCATCTACAGGTGTAGAATTTAGGATTCAGAAAGCTTGTACACACTGTCAGATATGGGAGTGGTGATTCCACCTGAAACCTAGCCAGGTATAACTTTTAACCATATTATTAAGCTTCAAAAATAGTAAGGTAGTAAAAAAATTAAATTAAAAAAAATTAAAAGGCAAACAAAGTTTTAAAATGATGTAGCAATACACTTTACTATGGCCTCAACAAGTTCACTGCTCTCTCTTTTGACCGCTGTCCTGTTTATTCACTGGAGGAGTAGGTGTCCACAGATATTCAGCTGCTTTCCCCAACCCAAAAACCAATGCTCAGAAGTAAAATCCACCATGATTCTTTCCAGGCTCAGAGACAAGGGCTTATTTCCATGCCTGTGACAAAACACAAATCCAAAACACTTCCACATCAGCATTTGCGATAGGTGAGGTCCAGGACCCAATGGCTTTGGTAAAACATGGCATGGCCAAATCCCCTTATGCTCTAACACTTTTTACCAAGCACAGAACACCTATAAAATCACAGCATAATCCCCTTCCCTTTTATGTGTGAGAAATCTACCACCAAGCATATAAGGTCCTCCATAATGTAAACTTATCCAACATTGCTTCCCAATGCTCTCAAAGCCTTCTGTTTGTTCCAGCCAGACCATGGTACAAACCCTAACTGGCTGATGATCCTCTGTACATGGTCCAGCCTGACCTGCTGACCATTTCCAGAATAGGTCATAAGCTTTTACCCTTCTTCACCTCCACAAATGCTAGTCCCATTTCTTAAGATGGCCTTTCTGCCTTTTCAGACGCCTACACATCCATTAAGACCCAAATCAAGTGTTACCTCTTCTGTGAAACTACATTCATCAGACAGAATTAGCATTTCCTTGAAAAATGCCAGAACAGATACAAAAATGAAAATAAAAATATCTTTTTTTCTGCCACAAGAAACCCATTCTTAACGTTTTATATGTTTCCATATTATAATTTGCTTTTTGCACCTAAACATTTACCATAAATATATCCCTACCTCACTCAATATTCAACATCTGATTTTTAATGATTACCCAATATTCTAACATATTGTTGTTCTATAATTGGATATGATCACAAATCTTATCATCTAATCAATATAAAGGTTAACATGGCCAACTCAGCAGAAACTTATCATGATGGGTACCTAGGGCAGAGTACAGATGCCAGGGCTGTGTCCCAGGTTCCCACAGTGCCTAGTCAAGACATAAAGACCGAAGAATTAATGAATTTGCTTTGGCCAATGGCCCAGTCACTTTTGCCACTGCCAATATTTTATGTCTTGGATTTTAAGCTTCAGGAGGATAGAAAGCTAATCAGCTTAACTCATTGTATAGTATAGTATAGTATAGTATAGTATAGTATAGTATAGTATAGT